CCTGTTTCGTGCTTCCATACAGTTGAATTTTACATTCTGTATTGTACTCCCTTTGTTGTTACAACTTTTCATCATGCCTTTTGTGGTTAATCCTTGTTACCGTGAATGTAATTGTATCAGCGGTGTGTTTTCCTCTATTTGCTTAATATTACTCATAGTGACTCGTGAGAGTTTGTTGTTTCTCTTGTGGAAAGTAATGGGTTTCTGCAACTGTGTGGTGGGCTAAATGGAAAATCCTCTTTATCTGTTGCTGTTTGTGTAATTCCTTGAAGACGGGGGACAGAATCGTTCTAGAGCCAAAATAATCATGCTTTGTAATTTCGTGTTTCTTTGTGCTTAAAATCTATGAATTGGGGAGATGAAAGCAATTTTCCAGTTATTCGGATATGTCATTATCTCAATCTGTATGATAAATGCGAGTGTTTGATGAATAATTGGCAGTCAATCGTTCGTGAGATGTAATAAGTATCATCATATCAAAACTTTAAAGTTTTATTAAAAAATTAACAAAATAGGTATTTATGAATTAAAAGGATAACTAGCATGAAGTTGCGGTCATCAACTTTCATCTGATATCGTCCTTTCCCTTTTGAGAATGGTTTCTTTGATCATCTTTCTTCTAGCTGCATGAGTTTTTGTGTTTGTTAGCATTCATTATATGTAGGATGGCTGCGTGACTCTAGCATCCAAAATTTTGACTGTGCAGCCACTGTCTGTCTTCACCGTTATGCCATCATCTATTATAGTTAGTATACCCTAAAGTTCTAATACTGTAATATGTTTGTCCGGACTTTACAATATCTTTGTAAATTCATTGACCTATAGCCACATCCTTTTCATCAACTCATGACCTATCACTCAATTTTCATGTCAGCATTATATCTCCTTTGTCCATGTTTCAATTATGAATGATTTTTGGATAATAGTGATGCAAGGAAAAGGAAAAAGTATTCATATCTACCTTTAATAGTGTGCAATGTGTTTGGACCAAGTTATTGATTGATCATTGATAAAAGTAATTGTTTGTTTTCAAAGTTCGGAGGGAAGGAACATTAGTGTTGACATCGTACAAGGACTACCAAAACCTCGTTCCGTTAGATAGGGTTGCCGCGTGGATCAAACAACACCACTGTGTTCTGTCAAAATTAATATCTTTATGATACTAGAATTAATATTTTTAATGATTTCACTTAAAGTCCTTCTTGATCCACTTGAACCTCTAATTAGTGAATTATTGTCCATGTGATCAATTGGCACTTCTGATGCTCTTTTCAACTGTTCAAATTTAAGGATGCTGTATCAAAATGATAAGGGCAGCAATGTTCATCAGCAGTAGATGTAAGTAATACATATCCTTTCCCTTGCAATGGTAGAGGCTGTTTCTAGGATGTTTACCAGTGACTTTAAATGAGGATAGTGTACACAGAAAGAAAAAATATATAGCCTTTCTGTTGAAATTATGGAGCTCTGGATTTCTTCATGGAGAATCTGTACTGTGGATTTTACATAACCATTTACAGTGTAATGAACTGAATTTCTTGTATTGTAGTTGCGGAGAAGAATATCTTAATAATATTATGTGATCTATATTTCATATAACTATGATCTTAATCTGATAGGTTCAAGGCAAACGTTTATGTTATAAGAAATAAAAGGGACAGACAGTTATAACTATTTGAGTAGGTTTTGTTGTCTCAGACTTTTATAAAGTCTGCCTAAAAGTCTGAGTAGGTAGTTCTTTTAGCGGTTTTTCATTGTTTTTGTAAATTTTGAAAAGAAGAGGAGGAGTGGAGAGTCTGGTTCTCTCAAATAACCAGAAGTTGTATGTGTTTGGTTTCTCCACATTGGAGGAAACCTAGTGTGTTGTTGGAATAAAGATCTACAGTTTCTAAAGCTTATTTCATTAGAGATCTGAATACCTATCATTGGTATCCAGAGCCTCTTTCCTGGTGAAGTGGGGGCACGTTGAAGGTATGGTCAACACAAGAATGGAGGCAAGATGGGATGGGCTGGCGAAGATCGTCCAAGACCAAGAACACGAGAATAACTGACGGTTCCAGCAATTACAGGAGATGATTCAAGGGCTGACGGGGGTGGTTGAAAGATTAGCATCCTTTGATAAGCATATATAGGACAACGTTTCTGTTCCTAGGGGAGGAAATGAGGGCAGTCAGGGTAATGAAGGAGGAGGTTCCTTTAGGGTTTCTTCAAAATGGCGGAAGTTAGACATTGTTGTGTTTATAGGAGATGAAGCTTATGGCTGGACCAACAGGCTGGAGAGGTATTTTCATTTGAAATAAGTCAATGAGGAGGAGAGGATGCAGGCTGTGATGGTTGCTCTGGAGGGCAAAGCTTTGAATTGGTTTCAATGATGGGAAACCTGCAATCCGCATCCCACATGGGAAGCTTTCAAAGACACGGTGGTTAGACGGTTTTAGCCAACAATGTTGCAAAACCCATTTGAAGTTTTGATTGGGCTACACCAAACTGGACCAATGGGAGAATATATTGAACAGTTTGAAAAATATGCTGGATTCTTGAAAGGAATACAACAAAATTATTTGATTGGCCTATTCTTGAATGGTTTAAAGGCAGAAATAAAGGCTGAGGTTAAGCTGTATGGGCCGAAGAATCTTGCTGAGTTGATGATGAAGGCTAAAATGGTGGAAGAAAAGATTAGAGTCAACACCAATGGGAATCTCTCACTGTGCAGCTTCCAAGTAACACTTACAGATAGTTGCCACCTACTCGTAGTTATTCAGAGGAGGGGGGAAATTTAGTCAGTTTTACCAATTCCAACCGAGGAAGTGGAGAGAGCAGTGGCTGTGTGAGCACCATCAATAGTTCTCCTACTAGGACTCAACAAGGAGGGGGCCGTTTAGAAAATTGTCCCAAGAAGAATTGCAAGATAAGATAAAAAAGGGCTTATGCTTCAAGTGTGATGAGAAGTTTGGGCCTAATCATACTTGCAAAAATAAATAGCTCCTATGCTACTTATTTCGGAAGAGGACATTCAGGAGTTAGGGGAATCTGCTGACTGCATTCATAAAGAATTTCCAAACCTTCAGCTTGAGGATAAGGTGCATCTTCATGGAAGGGGTGTTGATAGGTTTGAAAACATCTCTCATCTATTGAAAACAGCTAGGAAGCTGCTACCATTAGTAAAGAGTTTCCTGCTTTTCACCTTGAGGACAAGGTCAAACTTCATGGAGGAGGTATTGATAGGTTCAAAGGAAACATTTATGTTAGAAGAAATAAAAGGGACACTGTCTGTGGGTAGGTTTTTGTTGTCTCAAACTTTTTATAGGGTCTGTATAGACAGTTGTTTTAGCAGTTTTTCGTTGTTTTTATAAATTCTGAAAAAAATAGGAGAACTGGAGAGTCTAGTTCTCTCGAAAAACCAGAAGTTGTATGTGTTTGGTTACTCCACATTGGAGGAAACCCGGTGTGTTGTTGGAATAAAGATCTGCATTTTCTAAAGCTTATTTCGTTATAGGTCTGAATACATATCATTATCCCGTTTCTTATAATTAGATTTAACTTGATTCCAATTTTCTCGTAAACATAAAAAGAGTAGTAGACTACATTTTTCACCTCGATGAATTTGATTTGTTTTACTCATGATTTTAATATCTATGGTCGTTGCTTCTACAAATTGCTAACTTCTAAATCACATAATATTAGTCATTTCTATTGGATAAATTGAAGATAGTTACATATACATGCTTCTTCAGTAGATTCCATCCACAGTTTAACTTCCAATGCAATATGTCTTAATAATGGTTGTTGTATAATATACTCATGAATTCTTTATGGTACAATGTGTAGGTGGAAGAACTGACGAATCAAGAAAAAGTTGAGCTCCGTTCTAAAATTGAAACCCTTGGAGTAGAGGTTACAAAAGTTCCTTCAAAGTCAACCCAACACCTTAACGAGGTGGTTTTCACTTTATAGTTTAGCCATTAATCGATGTAGAGTTCTCTTATACGTGTTGACATGGGTTAGAATGTGAATTTTTTTATCATATCTTAGATTACCTCAGAAGTAGTTTTCTTATTTCCTCGTTTAGGATTAGCTATCATATTTCTTTTCTTACGATGTGCTATTTCTTAATTGGTCAGGATTATGATTAGTGTAAATGAGGGTTAGTTAGTACTTCAAGTTAACAAACACAACCTCAACAAAAGGAAATAACATTCTGGTTTTGTTATTTTATTTTCTTCGTTTATCTACATAGGTGGAAATTGCCAAGGAGTTGGACAAATTATCAGCAAGATTAGATGATCTTGATGAGATGATATCGACATCAATGGCTTCAGATCCACAGGTGCAATCACTGTTGAGTGATACAGCTGATGTGTGGATGCCAGTTATCACAGCAACCTCTGAGGAAAGACGCAATTTCACAGCAGTTACTGGAGATAACACCGCCCAACCAGATGCCGAAAAGTCTCAATAGCTTCCTATTTTCTAGCCTATAAGTACGGACTATTGTTTGAAGCACGAAAAACCAGTGTTTCAATATATTCTTATTGGCGTATCAATCAAATATTAAAATTGGGAAAAGATAGAAAAAGGAAGATCTACTTGTTGGGTTTTGAGGCATTATACATGGGGAGATTGAGTATGATAAGATATTTGGTGCAATATCCCATGAGAAGCTGGTCCTCATAATCTTGACTTAGATTCTGATTTCTCTAATTCTTCCTAAGTGAAGTTGTTTTTCCACGTGCTAACTCAAAATTTCTTCATGGAAAAATAATATGATTTTATGAAATCACGTCGTAGTGAGTGCAAAGTTTTTATCTGTTTTCACTACTCTGGCTCACACCATAAGTTCAAGTTGATTTCTCTTTTTAATTGGAACTAAATTTAAATAATATTACCGCCCTTTTTCTAGTTAATTGCATTAAATTTTATTAATATCTTTATTTTAAAAAATAATAATAAAACAAAAGTACATGCTATAATATTATAATTAAACTTTCTGATAGAGAAGGCATAACACTTAGGTGGTGATAGACAGTGAACGATGGTGTGGTACTCCGGCAGCCACCAGCTCTTACACCACTACACCAAACTCATGTCATCGCACGTGTCCAACTCTAGGCACGACATCGCCATCTCCCTCTTCCAGCACCTCCACTCCACCCTCCTCCTCCCCATGGACCCCCACCTCCTCTCCCTTACCCTCAAGTCCTGCACCGCCCTCAACCTTCCCCTCCTCGCCACCTCCCTCCACGCCCACGCCGCCAAGTCCTCTTTCCTCTCCAACCCCTTCGTCGCCTCCGCCCTTCTCCACCTCTACGGCTCCCGCCTCTCCCTCCCACTCGCCCATCACCTCTTCCTCCAAATACCGGACCCACACCGAAACGTCGTCGTCTGGAACTCCATCATCTCCCTCCACGCCCACAATAACAACCTCTCCCTCGCCCTCCGCCTCTTCCACTCCCTCGACACCGCCCCCACCGACTCCACCTTCAACCCCATCATCTCCGCCTTCGCCCCCTCCCATCCCCTCCAATCCATCTCCTTCTACCGCCAAATGCTCCTCCACAACCTCAAACCACGCCTAATTACACTTTTATCTCTCCTCCCCGCCTGCGTCAACCTCGCCGCCCTCAACCTAATCAAAGAAATCCACGGTTACGCTGTCAGGAACTCCATCCACCCGCACCACCAGTTCAGCAGCGCCTTGGTCGAAGCCTACGGAAGATGCGGTTCTCTTCGTTGTTCCACTTTGATGTTTTCGACGATGAGGGACGAGGACAAGGACGTTGTTGCGTGGAGCAGTTTGATTTCGGCCTGCGCTTTCCACGGCCAGGCGGAGGCCGCGCTGGAGACTTTCCGGCGGATGGAGGCCGCCGGCGTGCGGCCCGACGGAATTGCGTTTCTTGGGGTTCTGAAGGCTTGCAGTCATGCTGGTTTGGCGGATGAGGCCCTGTGGTTTTTTGCGAGGATGCGGGGGGAGTATGGTGTGGAGCCCGGGAGTGACCATTACTCGTGTTTGGTGGATGTTTTGGGAAGAGCGGGTAGGTTGCAGGAGGCGTATGCGGTGATTCAGGGGATGCCGGTGGAGGTGACGGCGAAGGCGTGGGGGGCGCTGCTCGGGGCTTGTAGGAATTTTGGGGAGTTGAGGCTTGCGGAGGTTGCGGCGCGGGCGTTGGCGGAGGTGGAGCCTCGGAATGCTGGTAATTATGTGCTGTTAGGGAAGATGTATGCGAGTGTGGGAAGGATGGAGGAGGCGCAGAGGGTGAGGAGGGACATGAAAGAGAAGGGGGTTAAGGTTTCTGCTGGGAGTAGTTGGGTTGTGTATTCTGAGGTCTGATGAGATTAGCTTCATGTAAGAATTGGAAGTTAATGAGTTAATGGAAGAAGGATGAACTTGAACTTGTAACTTCTTCGATTGTCTTATAGACATTTCAAGATACATATGAAGACAACCAGCCTTTTCTTTGGGTTTCCCACATTCTTGCATATTTTTTATGGAATGGGGACTTTAATTAATATTGTACAATAGATCTATCTTACCATCTTTTGAAGTGAGGAACGACAGAGTTTGACAAGTACAACACCAAATGTAAAGAATGTTTTCGGAAAGGAAGAAACGTATGTTTGCTAGATAGAATTAAAGGAGTCTTATTCTGAAACCGTCTTCTTTTTTATTCAGAAAATGACCAAAGAATTTAGATTAACCATACTCAGGTGCAATTTTTTTTTGGAAAAATTACTAGACGACAACCAATCGCGTCGTCCATCTTCTCGCGACACCACTACCCAAATACTTCTCAACCACATGAGCAACCATAACATGACCATCTACTCGAGTTTTCCAGAACCATCATCACCTAATCGAAACACAACCATTGTACAACAAATTGCCCAAATCCAATAGAAGTATTTGAAAACGACCATTGCATGTCAAGATTATGAGTTCGAACATTACATATAGCGTAGAACCAAAATCTCAGCCAAATATTCAAAATGACCACACACTAGAATGCTGCAATCATGAATTCGACCATTGTTCAGTAGACGGACAAATCCAGACAAATACTTGAAAATGACCATCACATACTAGAATGCCGCAATCATGAATTCGACCATTGTTCAGTAGAGGAACAAATCCAGACAAATACTTGAAAATGACCATTGCACAACAAAGGGCCACAAGATTATGGGTCTGACACTTGCATACCTAAAAGTCGAAATCATAACAATGATTTGAAAATGACCATTACATAATAGAGGGTCGAGATTATGAGCATAACAGAGGGCTAAAATCCCAGACAAAGATTTGAAAACAACCATTGTACATTAAAGGGCAAAGATTGTGGATTTGACTATTGCACTGCTGAGGGTCAAAATCCCAAACAAATATTTGAAAATGACTATTCCACAACAAAGGGCCAAGATTATGGGTTCGACCATTACACAAGAAAGGGCCGAAATGAAAAAATGTAAGGGCAACCCCTTTTAATTGAGAAATGCAACTGAGATTGGGGAAACAAATTGGGGGTTTTTACTATTAGGGTTTGTGTGAGGGAAAAAATCGCGATCTTTCTTCAAGTTGAAGCGCCAGGGTTCGTGGGTGAAGAACATCTAGTTAGAAGCGCCAGAGTGCATGCGCCTGTTCGTGTCTCGATAGGTCAGGTGTGGGTCCTTCTGTTGTTGGAAGCGCGAAGCTGAAGCACGTGGTGAGTGGAGGTTAATATGAAGGAAGGTCAGTGTTTGTGTTTTATTGTCTTTGTTTTTATAGATGAGAAACTATAATATTCGGTGGTGGTCCCTTATTGATGTATGGTTTGGTCTGCGTTGTTGATTGCATTTCGGTGGTCCCCATGTATGTTTAAAGTTATTTGACTTTGTCTGAGTGTGTATTGTTATTGTTTTAATATATTTTTTTTTGTCGTCATATGTTTCCATAATAGGTGTGTAGATATATTTATATTGTGTTGTGCGTAATGGAGGACACTATTGACTGTGTTTTCCACCATGGAGAAAAGTTCATTAATGATGGTACCCTAAAGTATGAAGAGGAGACAACAACTTTGTCCTTTGACCCTGACATGTGGAGTTTTTTGTGGTTGTTAGTGTAGTGAAAAGTTTTGGATATGATAATTTTAAAGATTTATGGTATTGTGTAGGAGGGGGTTTAATGTTGGAAAATAGGTTGGAACAATTGATTGATGACACAGGTGCCATGCATATCGCTAACTTAGCTAGGCTTAATGGTGAGATTCATTTATACGTTGTCCATGTAGTTTTTGATCCAGAAGTCATACATATGCTTCAATACATTACTAATGATGGAGGAGAAGTTGAAGGTAATGGTGAAGTACAAAAAAAGGTGAAGAAGATGGTGATGGTGTTGAAGTAGATGGTGAAGTTGATGGGAGGTTTGGTACTTTTTCTATGCCAAAATGTATGGTAAACTTTACATGGTAAGTTGGGACTTTTTTTTTTGCAGAAAAGCAATATATTTTAGATGTTGTAAAAGGGTATGCCTTGGAAAATGGGAGGAATATAAAGTTTGTAAAAAATGACAAAAGAAGATTGAGGATGAAGTGCTTTGGTGCAAAAGGAAAATGCCCATGGACCATATACTTTGGTTATATGGAGGCTGTAAAATCATGGCAGTTGAGAACTAAAAAAGACATCCATACATGCAACAGGGAGTTCAACCTCAAGTTACTTGACGCTAAGTGGTTGAGCAAAAAGTTGGTGAAAACAGTAAGGGAAAATCCTAAGATGAAGGGTGTTGATATTCGTGAAAAAGTTCAAAGGAAGTGGAACATAGGTATATCTAGGTGTATGGCTTATAAAGCCAAAGCTATTACTTCTAATCACATTGATGGGTCCTTTAATGAACAATATAAGAGGATATATGATTATGCGCATGAGTTGTTGGAAAGAAATCAAGGATCTACAGTTAAGGTGCTTGTTGAGAATAATGAGGGTGAGGTAATTTTCAACAGATTTTACTGTTGTCTGAAGGCATGCGAAGACAGTTTTGTCTGTTGTAGGTCAATAATTGGATTAGATAGAGCCTTTTTGAAAGGGAAGTATGGTGATGAGCTGTTAACGGCTGTTGGGAGAGATGGAAATGATCAAATGTTGGCAATTGCATATGCGGTAGTAGAAGTGGAAAACAAAGATTCATGGACGTGGTTTTTGAATCTTTTGATTGATGATCTTGGTGGTGGAGAATTATGTTCTTCAATTACTTTTGTCTCCGACCAACAAAAGGTAATAATCATATTTAATNCTCAACCTAATCAAAGAAATCCACGGTTACGCTGTCAGGAACTCCATCCACCCGCACCACCAGTTCAGCAGCGCCTTGGTCGAAGCCTACGGAAGATGCGGTTCTCTTCGTTGTTCCACTTTGATGTTTTCGACGATGAGGGACGAGGACAAGGACGTTGTTGCGTGGAGCAGTTTGATTTCGGCCTGCGCTTTCCACGGCCAGGCGGAGGCCGCGCTGGAGACTTTCCGGCGGATGGAGGCCGCCGGCGTGCGGCCCGACGGAATTGCGTTTCTTGGGGTTCTGAAGGCTTGCAGTCATGCTGGTTTGGCGGATGAGGCCCTGTGGTTTTTTGCGAGGATGCGGGGGGAGTATGGTGTGGAGCCCGGGAGTGACCATTACTCGTGTTTGGTGGATGTTTTGGGAAGAGCGGGTAGGTTGCAGGAGGCGTATGCGGTGATTCAGGGGATGCCGGTGGAGGTGACGGCGAAGGCGTGGGGGGCGCTGCTCGGGGCTTGTAGGAATTTTGGGGAGTTGAGGCTTGCGGAGGTTGCGGCGCGGGCGTTGGCGGAGGTGGAGCCTCGGAATGCTGGTAATTATGTGCTGTTAGGGAAGATGTATGCGAGTGTGGGAAGGATGGAGGAGGCGCAGAGGGTGAGGAGGGACATGAAAGAGAAGGGGGTTAAGGTTTCTGCTGGGAGTAGTTGGGTTGTGTATTCTGAGGTCTGATGAGATTAGCTTCATGTAAGAATTGGATGAACTTGAACTTGTAACTTCTTGGATTGTCTTATAGACATTTCAAGATACATATGTAGACAACCAGCCTTTTCTTTGGGTTTCCCACATTCTTGCATATTTTTTATGGAATGGGGACTTTAATTAATATTGTACAATAGATCTATCTTACCATCTTTTGACGTGAGGAACGACAGAGTTTGACAAGTACAACACCAAATGTAAAGAATGTTTTCGGAAAGGAAGAAACGTATGTTTGCTAGATAGAATTAAAGGAGTCTTATTCTGAAACCGTCTTCTTTTTTATTCAGAAAATGACCAAAGAATTTAGATTAACCATACTCAGGTGCAATTTTTTTTTGGAAAAATTACTAGACGACAACCAATCGCGTCGTCCATCTTCTCGCGACACCACTACCCAAATACTTCTCAACCACATGAGCAACCATAACATGACCATCTACTCGAGTTTTCCAGAACCATCATCACCTAATCGAAACACAACCATTGTACAACAAATTGCCCAAATCCAATAGAAGTATTTGAAAACGACCATTGCATGTCAAGATTATGAGTTCGAACATTACATATAGCGTAGAACCAAAATCTCAGCCAAATATTCAAAATGACCACACACTAGAATGCTGCAATCATGAATTCGACCATTGTTCAGTAGACGGACAAATCCAGACAAATACTTGAAAATGACCATCACATACTAGAATGCCGCAATCATGAATTCGACCATTGTTCAGTAGAGGAACAAATCCAGACAAATACTTGAAAATGACCATTGCACAACAAAGGGCCACAAGATTATGGGTCTGACACTTGCATACCTAAAAGTCGAAATCATAACAATGATTTGAAAATGACCATTACATAATAGAGGGTCGAGATTATGAGCATAACAGAGGGCTAAAATCCCAGACAAAGATTTGAAAACAACCATTGTACATTAAAGGGCAAAGATTGTGGATTTGACTATTGCACTGCTGAGGGTCAAAATCCCAAACAAATATTTGAAAATGACTATTCCACAACAAAGGGCCAAGATTATGGGTTCGACCATTACACAAGAAAGGGCCGAAATGAAAAAATGTAAGGGCAACCCCTTTTAATTGAGAAATGCAACTGAGATTGGGGAAACAAATTGGGGGTTTTTACTATTAGGGTTTGTGTGAGGGAAAAAATCGCGATCTTTCTTCAAGTTGAAGCGCCAGGGTTCGTGGGTGAAGAACATCTAGTTAGAAGCGCCAGAGTGCATGCGCCTGTTCGTGTCTCGATAGGTCAGGTGTGGGTCCTTCTGTTGTTGGAAGCGCGAAGCTGAAGCACGTGGTGAGTGGAGGTTAATATGAAGGAAGGTCAGTGTTTGTGATTTA